CATTTCAGGAAATAAAAAAGAAAACACCATAACGATCTCCGTCATGTGATAACACTCTGTTTAAGCGCATTTATAAAAAAAACGTATAATCCCTTAAATCTTAGTGACTTGAATATTTAGCATAAAATTGAAAAAACAAAACAAAAAAAACTGAGCATGAAATTTAAAACACCGCGTGTTTGTTTTTGCAGTTAGATAAGATATGTTGCAGTTTAATCATTCAAAAAATGCTGTGTTCGAGTGTAAAATGTCGTATTTTGAAATGATTTGAATTCTGAAACAAGAGCATACATAATGTTTAGGTCACATAGTGACTTTCAATAAAGACCTCAGGTTCACCTCCATGCATTATTTCAGGCACGAACGGGCACTTGAGAAGAACTACCGTAAATCGTAAACCGTAAAGCTGGATAGATTTAACATAGGCATGAATCCGAAATAAATCCTTGCGAACCAAATACCTCACATATAATTTCACAATATATCTCTTGTATGCGACAGCAAGTAAGTAAGTAAATAAATATTTTATTAATGTGTCATATGTAAACATAGAAGCAATGAACAAACAAGACATGTATAAACAATAGTATACACCCGGCCCAATGGGCCTATAAGACACATAATAACATGAAGACGTTAAATCTGAAAACACGTGAACAACATAAAAGGTATGTTTAGATAAAAAAAAGAAAAAGAAGAAAGATTTTATTTATCTTTAGCTCAAAAGAAATACTAATTTATTCTAATTAGTTTAACCACAAGAAAGTACTGTATAAGAAATTCAATGTTGTCCGTAAATATATTTGACAAATAAGAATCGAATGCCCAAAATTTACAAGTTATATTCAAGATTAGTTATCATTTGAATACGTTGACTTAATATGACAGATTTTTCATAAAATATATGTATCACCTGTTTATAGAACCTTTCACTATGGTTTATCTCAATATCTTAATATGATTGTAACATCATGTACAAATTAAACACGTTTATTGAAAAGTTCTGAATATGTTAACGTGGTATGATTTTAAGTTCCGAGTACTTAACTTTAAACAATGCTAAAACGAAAACGAAAATTTAACATTATTCAAAGTTAATTGATGGCTTAGCTTAAATTGTAATCTAAAGATAACTGACCACGTCCCTTTAATGCATTATATTTTAGTTCATAAAAATCTTGCCATACTAATTCTAAGTCGATAATAACTCTAACATACAGTTACTGTGATAAATAAGAGATTATCAAAGATTATAGAAAAACCGTTACGATTGTTCAAACCTTAATGTATATCAATAAAATATGATAATAAAGTTCAGATTACAATGTCATAAAATGTCCTTATACAGTCCAAAAAATAGTAAATATTAAAATGAATAAGTAATCACAGTTTCAGTGTCTATGAAACAAATAGTCTCTACGCCTCATATATGCCGATACTAAGTTCTAGTTTTCTGGGGTAATTCTGAACAATTTGTACAAATTTGTCACTGTCTGTAAATTGGGTTAATTGATCATTTGACAAAATCTCACTTACATCTCGAGGGCCAGTTTGTCATTAATTGATTTAAGTGCTGCGTGTTTTATAACAAATGAACACTTATTGTCTACTTCTTCTGTTTTGAAATAAAAACCTATGTTTCCTAGTTTCTATACTTCACTTCTTCGCTATTAATCCCTGACTTAAATAGTTTGACATTGTTTAAAAAATGGAAATATTATAGTAAAAGGAAAAGATTTGCAAGCTTACTTATTTTCCCGTGTAAGCACGAATTAACCTTTATATTTGATTATTGATTAAGTGTTGGATCTGAAGTAATCGTCTGTGTTTAACACAGAGACAACTAACGAATTACAGATGATATGAGCCGTGTCATGACAAAACCAACATAATGGGTTTGCGACCAGCATGGATCCAGACCAGCCTGCGCATCCGCGCAGTCTGATCATGATCCATGCTGTTCGCTATCAGTTTCTCTACTTGTAATAGGGTTTGTAAGCGAACAGCATGGATCCGGATGCGCAGGCTGGTCTGTATCCATGCTGGTCGCAAATGCATTACGTTGGTTTTGTCATCACACGGATCATATAACAAAATCAAAAGTCATAGTTTCACTTTAAAGACAATATTTTCATCTGCTGCGGTCAAATAACGAGCGAAGTAAGTAAGAATATACTAGTGTAGAATGTATTTATAGGAAATGCACTATATAAGATAGAATATAACAATTATGAGGTATATAAATGAAATGACCAATGTCTGTGTAAAACACGGTAACAAGCTTATAAATTTTCAATGCGGCAATTATGTTTCTCATATATTAACAATTGATATCTTTACTCTTATTTTCAATTCGTCTGACATGGTTCGCGGTATCAATTTAGACTCGATGTTTCTCTTTCACATGTATATACTAGTATTTAGTGTAAATACCAATTTTCATATCATTAGACCGCTGCATGTTCCTTGTTTCACAGCAATTTTAAGCCACTTTGAATTGCAAAATTTCCAATAATGACGATAATGATAATAATAATAATTTAATTAATAATAATAATAATCATAAAAATAATAATAATAATAATAATGATAAAAATAATGATAATAATAATGATGATGAAGAAAAAAAATGATGATGATAATGATGATTATGATGATGCTGATGATGACAAGCATGATGGTGATGAGGAGGGGACAATGAAGGTAATGATGGATTGGAAAAGGAAGAAGGAATACCTCATCATTTTTGGTATTTCTATTTGAATATAGCCTGGAAACGTAAAATAAAATCATATGATATAACAATTATATAAATAAAACTGAATCATTCACAGAAAATTGTAAACACGTTAACAAGGTTTTATTCAGTCTTGTTACAAAATACCACCAATTAGTAATATAAAATATAAAGAGACACAGTTAACCCACAAAGTAGTCGTACTACATGCCACCATCATTATCTTTTTATGTCCGGTTTCCCTGTGTGCTATTTTTAGCAATAATCGAAAAGTTTGTTTTTATTGCTAAAATTTCCTACAAAACCAATTTTTTTATAACTGAAAGAAAATGTAAATGTCTTAAGCCAGTACATACAAAGGTACCTATTTCGAAAGCAAATTCATTTTTGTTAGTCTTATGGGTTACATTATACTTTTATTTCCTAATGGATTACAGTTCAAATATAACGTTCGTTTAAGATAACATAAAAAGTAACGCGCGGCTAAACACATTATTTAAAAAGTCACATTTTCTTCTTTGACAATGCAAATGTGCAAACTATGCGCCCTGATCGTGTAGCTTGAAATAATTACTAAGCAACTCTATAGTAAATACTTAACTCGGATATTACATTGTACTACCTAACTCAGCTGTACTAAGATATAACTTTCTCAATTGTATTCAATGATAGAACATTACTCACTCAATTGTTATCAATGATACAAAATGCCTTACTGACAAGAAATACCTTCACTGATACAAAAACCTAATTCAGCTTCAATCAACACTAACCCTGATACCTATTACCTAACCTACCTGTAAACACTAATAAAAATAGTTTTGCTAATATCATTGATAACTTACTCAGCTGTAGTCTATAATAAGATATATAAAACCCAGTTGTTATTAATCGTGGTAAAACCTATTCCATTCGAATTCGACTACACATCATTACTTTACCTTTGACGTACCAGTTTACGAGTAAAATCATTTTCTAAATGTGTAAAAAGGTGTGTTGTTTTGTATGATAGGTGATTATGAATTATGTTTTATAATACCATTTCGGATAAGATCTGTCAACTCAGTTTCTTTAATGTCATGGTTGTCTATATTTGGGCGACTGTTCTTTTTGCAAAGAAATGGACTCGTGTCACCAGAAAGTTATTAACATTTAATTACATTTTCTTTAACAATTTACAAATGGAAAAGAAACGTAAGGAAAACATAAACATATGTAATTCGTAAAATAATATAACTGCTAGTGTTTGTTAGTCCGAGGAAACATCTTTCTACCTGTTGGGAGAACGATATATTGTTGTCTTCAGTCTACGTAATATGCCTAAGAACAACAATTACCATACTCCTAACAATACAATTTCTCAGAAATAAATCACATTAAAAATTCCAAAAATATTTTCAAAGTCATCAATTTCTAGAAAAGCAACATGCTGGGCAACCTTTGTAACAACAATGCCAAACCGATGGCAAATTGTGCGGTTTGATCAAAGACTAGTATCGTATTCAGCAGTAAAATACGGTTTCAAATTTCTAAGTGTTCCCATACCACGTGTCTTTCACGTCATTTTTGATAATACGGCAAGCAAACTGCTTTATTCAAACCTTTACACTCACGTTAGTTCTTTATCACATATGACTGAAAAAAGCTTAGGGAAAAGTTGGTGATATCACAAACGCATGGTAATTTTTCCTAATGTTTTTTTCTTTCCGTAGAAACTTCCAGTTTTCCCGTTTTAAGTGTTTATTTACTATTTCTGCTTGCCCTATTTACAAAAACTTAGTTACGTGAAAATCACATGGAATGCACACACTGCATGATCTCGGAAGCTATTTTAAAAAAAAATTGTACAAAAGAACGATGAAACAATGCTATGCTTCACGTATTTATTCAACAAACAGACATTACACATTTAATTTCATGGTCTTTTTTGCATTGATGTAACAACCATATGTCGTGGTCAATACATTACATAACATATTAATAAAATAAATCTAATATATAGCAATAAAATTACCTGAGAAAAAGTGGACAACTTGGATACAATAACATAGAAATATTTATATACACTAAACGACAAATTATAACACATAAATAATGCATTTTCCTGAAGTAAGTCATGTTACATATAATTTTGAATGCAAAAATTTAATAGTACTATATAAAAACATACAGTATGTAATTAAGGATTCGGACGTTTATTGTAAGAAGACAATTTTTATAAAATAAATTCAGAATGAATTACTTATCTTAAAACCATAATTATATCATAGAATTTATATAATAATATAGCATGAATATAAAATGTAAACGTACATGTAAATTCACAAGACAAGAGTGGCAGTATTAATGATTCAGATCTGAAAAATAAAACAGATTCAAATGAAATAAAACAACATAATTGACAGCATCATATGATTTAAAAAAAAACAACAAACAAATATAAACATCTCTGGAAGCAGTTGTAAGGAGACATTGTAAATACGTTTTCTTCATAATTTGTCAGGGTTCTTCCGGCATCCGTAAATCCTTGAAGCCTTTTTATTAATACAAAATGTAGTTTGAAGATCTTCGAAATATTACATCTATAAAAATGTTCGATATCGCTTACATTTAAATATTTTTAGTCTTTAAAAGTAAGAATTCACAAATCTTTTAAAGGTTTCATAGGAAGTGTTTTGGGTTCATTATTAGGCATCTGTGTCGTCTAGAGAAAGTTCGATCACTTTGTATATTGTGTTCAGAAAATCCATTAATTGTACGCCATCTTGAACTGCAATGTATGTCCTATGGATATCATTCACAAGATTGGACTTTAATGACAGGAATGACGAATCAAGGTCGTTTTCTGATATAGAGCTTTTGACGTCACTTCCGCTGGATAGTATCGCTATTTTCAAGCTGCACATTGCACTTTTAAGTTCCGTTTCGTAATCCTGTAGCTTCTGTCTTGTTTTTGCTTCACTTGATATCTTAGCTATCTGTCCGTTTGTGCGAGCTTGATTTATATATAACATATGTTCCTCTATCAAATAATAATGTGACTTCAGTGCGAGTATTTTCTGAAAAAAGGAGAAAATTTCAGTTTCATTTAATACGTATAACTTGTTTATGGTTAAAAGTTGGGAGAAAGAATCTGCCATTTTAGACTTCGACCTTAACAGTATTTTTCCCACTTTCATTAGAAGTCTGAGGAATGGACTTAAGGATATTCTTATTTCTACACATCAATATTGGTGGTTTTTACAGAGATTATCTGTGGTAAGGCAAATGTTTTACAAATTATTCAATATTTCCAAGTTTGGTCGGAGGGTGATTTTCATGATTGCTTAGTTCACTTTCGGCATACATGAAGACTTACCTTACTTTTAACCATTCTCCTTAAAAATTCCTTATAAATTCTTAAATTGAAAGTAAGTTGCTTTTTCTTCCAGCCTGATCATACTTTATGCTGCTTTGATTTTCATCTTAAGATTGATAGCCTTAAATTCTAACATTGGCAGATATAACAGTGAAATCAGAACGTTAAGGGAGAAAATATACTCATATAGTTACTTGTTCAATGGCGGCCAATTTCTGTTCCGCCGTTGCATCAAACTCCTCGTCATCTATCCAACCATTGTATTCCTTCAATTTTTGTTCTTCGGCACTGCTTATTTTACCGTTATTAACTAACTGTAATAGGAAAAATTCCAAGCATTCAATAATGACACATGTCATTGCAAATTATATCGTGTGTTATGTTTCAATTATTTACTTATCAATTATTTAGAAAGTATAATTTACAGTATCTATAGTATGTTTTATTAACCACTTATTTATTCTTTTTCAGATTAAAATCATATTTTACGATGAATAGTGATAGAAATATTCTTTTGCTTTAAAGTTAAAATGTTTTGTTTCCAACAATGTTGAGGATTTTGACATCTCAAATTGTTTTCAATTTTTGTTTGTTTTAAGTATGCAAGCTACAAAATTTCAAACAAAACTTAAAATTTTGCTTTAAATGACTTCACTTACAAAATCAAATATCATATGTCGTGTGTTAGCGCAAAGTTTATAACCCCACCGCCCCGCCCCAACAAAAAAAAAATACAGAAAAAAAGTTTACTGACAGAGGCTTAAAGCTTAATAAATATAACATAACCGATAACTTGATGAATCATTGATGCGGAAAAGATTATAAAAACAAACGGAAATTGAATGAAAGGTGATACAGTTTTTGTAAAATGTTAAATGCCTTATACAGCTGATTCAGAAATATTAGTGAAATACTATCTTAATGACATTTTCTTATTTATAGTGACTCCACCGAGTTTTTTGACATGTAGGAATGGGAAATAATTAAAAGATAAATGTTCCATTGGATGAAGATTTAGACGAATAAATTGTGTTCCACAGCTCATCATTCGCTTACATCGTTTTTAAGAATAATTTTTCTAATTGTGAAAAATGATCCAAACATTTTTTTTCCTTCAGAAACTCGAAAGATTCTGTGAATGTCAAACAATTACATTCACTTGTATACATAAATGCCGGAAATGTTTTCTTCCGCAACTTTTTGTTCTAGTTGTATAAAATGTGTGAAACAATTATGTTTTTATTACATATAATTGAAAAAGGTAACTGCATTTAAATGTAAATCTTTGAAACATAATTAAACGTCTATATTGTACTTAAAAGGATGAAATTTATTTTTAGAAACAAATTTGTTACTATTTTTAACCTATCACGTGTTTTTACTTACGTGATTGTGACACTCCTTAGCAAAAGATGTCTGTTCAACGAATATAATTATGTAAGTCTTCGGGAACTAAACAACGCTCTTCTTTTTCTAAGTGATATCTTAATAACGTTAATTACAAATAAAGCAAGTGGACCAGATGAAATTAGTCATAAAATGCTAAAAGAAACAAGATATTCTGTCTGTGCTCCACTAGGTATTTTATTTAACAGATCTCTAGTCGAAAATATTTACCCTAATTCATGGAAATCAGCAGTTGTAATGCCAATATATAAAAAGGGCAGTAAAAACATGCCTATGAATTATAGACCCATTTCTCTAATAAGTTGTGTAGGTAAAGTATTTGAGCGAATTGTTTTTAAGCACATTTATAATCATTTACATGTTAATAATCTTATATATCACCAACAGTCTGGGTTTTTACCGGGTCATTCCACCGTTTTTCAACTTATTGATATTTATCATCAAATTACTCAAGCCTTTGACAAAAAACAATCTACATGTATGATATTTTGTGACATTTCGAAAGCATTCGATAGGGTATGGCACAAAGGGCTTATATTTAAATTGCGGCAATACGGTATTGATGGCGATATATTAAATTGGTTGAGCAACTATCTTTTAAATCGGCACCAAAAAGTTTTTGTAAATTCAACTTTCTCAAGTGAGAAAATAACTACTGCGGGCGTTCCCCAGGGATCAGTCCTGGGTCCGTTGCTATTTCTAATCTACGTTAATGATATTGCGGATAATCTACTAAGCATAACCCGCCTCTTTGCAGATGATAGTTCGTTGTCGATTTCCTCTAGCAATATGAATTTTATAGAAAACACATTAAATACCGATCTACATACTCTTCAAGAATGGTCCCATAAGTGGTTAATTAAATTTAATCCAGATAAAACAGAAGTAATGTTTTTTTCCTTAAATGATGAACAACGCCCTTCTCTATTCTTTGAAAATACCCAACTTACTTATGTAAAAACGCATAAACATCTTGGACTTACATTGAGTGAAGATGGAAAATGGCACGAACACATTAATAATATTATGACATCAGCTTCTAAAGTTCTAAGCTCAATGCAATCATTGAAATTTAAACTCAAACGAAATACATTAAATCAAATTTATTTATCATATATGCGACCAATCCTCGAATATGCCTCCACTGTTTGGGATGGCTGTAATGAAAATGATAAACATTCTCTTGAAAAGATGCAATATGAAGCAGCGCGTGTTGTCACAGGTCTAACTAGATCGGTATCTATAGACCGTTTACTTAGAGAAATTGGCTGGGTATCTTTGTCGGATAGAAGAATTATGCAAAAATTAATAATAGTTTACAAAGCCCATCAAAACAATGTTCCAAGCTACTTACTAAATCTTTTCCCAAATAGTGTCGCTAATTCTACTCCATACTTCCTCCGAAATGATAACAACTATGTGACAATCGCACGGAGAACACAAATATTCGCAAAATCTTTCATTCCTTCATCCATAGAGTTATGGAACAATTTGGATGATCGTATTAGACATGCGGCTTCTCTTAATATTTTTAAATCTCGTCTCAAAGAAATTTATAAACCACATACTGTTCCTCAATATTTTGTATACGGAGATCGAAGTTTATCTGTTTACCATGCACGTTTTAGAAACGAATGTAGTAATCTTAATGCGGATCTTTGTAAAAATCATCTACGAGATAACTCACTTTGTAGCTACTGTACATCCAGTATTGAAGATGCCGAACATTACTTTTTTAAATGTCCCAAATATAACGAAATAAGAGTGCAGTTATTCCGCTCAACTCGCAGTTTCCATCCTTTGAGCGTAAAGACCCTTTTGTTTGGAAAAGAATCTCTTTCTGATGAGAATAACTTATTTATTTTTGATAAGGTACAATTATTTATTAAATTATCGTGTAGATTTGAATCTTAATTTTTTATATTATCTGTACTACTTGCCACGTTCAATTGATATCCCTACTTACTGAACTCTATCCCCCTTTTTTTTTCTTTTCCTTTTATGTAATGCTTTTCTTCTTCTTTCTCCTTGTGCATTTTTCCCTAATTGCTCTACTATCATACATTTTGGTTTGTAACTGTCTTATTATTATTAGATAATTCAATATATCAGGGAAGAACCGTTTGCTGATGTTGTAAGAACTCGTGGTTCAACCCTTTTGCTACTTTTGTATTTATACTATGATAATATAATGTTATAAATGTGTAAAAAAAAAAAGAGCAATAAAATATGTTTAAATCAAAATTACATTTTTAACATCATTATTTATGAGAATCTATCAAAAACCAATATCACTTACGTATTCTGATATGTTTTTGGCTTCTATTTTCAATCCCGATGTCCTTGCTATGAGGTCTTTGATACTTTTTCTAAGCGGCACTCCATTTGATGGTGACGGGCTCTGTTCAGCAAAGACAAAGCACGGATTACTAAGATCAGTCGATCGTTTCACTGGATGAGAAATTACGACAGTCACACACATCGCCGAGATAATTATAAATGAACCTAGAAAAATAAAACAAATTAAAACAATGATATCTTTATTTTCATGTCGAAATGTTAAGTTTTTTTCTTTAAATAATTAATGATTAAGAAAGAATTTAGTAACATATGCTGGACATTATAAGCATTTTTGCTCGATTATGTACAATATTATCAAATTTTGATAAGAATGATTCAAATAATACTTTTACAGGAAGTACGAAGAAAATTTCCATTTCTATAAAAATATATTTTATTGTACTAATGTAGATGAATGACTGCTTTGATCAAAGAATGAGTGAAAAATAAACGTGTAAATAATTTACCTCTACTAAATGAAGAGAAAAATTCCAAAGAAAATATTTTTAGAAAAAGATCCTTGTCATATTGTGTCTTTCTATCTCAAATTCTGAATATTAAATGTGCTATGAAGTAGCAGATTGGGAGTTTTACTTCTGGGGTTTCAGTTTGTTTAAGTACGTCATTAAGGAAAATATATTTAAAACAAGTGTAGTACTTGAATAACTAAATTTGTCAATTTGTACTTACGAAACATGTTTCCTTCTCAATTATACAATACAAAACAGCTATCTTAATTAATTTAAGAAATAAAAGACAAAGTAAAACCAATATATTTCACAAGTCTATATTCACAACACTAAGTTGGTGTGTGGAATAAGGTCGAATGATTTGGCTGATTAGGCGCCTGGTCTTATAGAGTAAATCATGTACAAAAAACAGGACTTTCACCGGAATCTGGATTTTTTTAAATTTGTCATCAAAATAATTGTATTATGGATACAAGTGAAAATACGGAAACATTAAACATTGAAAATACGGAAAATTGAAACACGCACTTTATGTCATCAATATTGCTCAATATTTCATTTATAAGTATATAATAAAGTGGTTTAATTCATCTTCGGTTACTATTATATTTTTCTAAAGGTACTATCAACTTATGTTGTCATGTTGAAGAAATAAATTTACTTTAATAGGCTGTCAGTTTATGCCATACTTATTAAAGAAATTCTTACAGACAAAGAGAACTGTACATACTCCCTTAACTTAAACAAGTCATGTTTGAGAAAAAGAATCCATGGCCCATTACAAAATTTTGACACGCACCTGCTAAAGCATGTGAGTAACTATCGAATTAAAAAAAATCAATACAGATTGTTTATGGCAAAATACGGACAGTAGACCATGTAAATGTTCAAGTAGTATACATGTGAAGTTTGAGAAGAAAGTGTTTCCTTTCATAACAGGATAATTAGTATATACTTGCAAGCTCTGAATTAGCAAATAGTGATAAATATACATAATACATCATCATTATGATAACGTGGACAGATGATTTGATTCCATAGAAAAGCAGAAAAAGTACAAGATTAATGTGTTGTTTTATGAACTTAATACTGAACGAAAATGTGGTTTCCAAATACGTCAATAAAACGCATTTTATGTTAACTCAAAATATTTTCCAAAAAGTTTTTTTTTTCTTTTTGGCATAAGCTATAATGGACATTTAAGAACAACATATAATAAAATATAATAATATAATCATTGAAGACGGTATAATGAAAAAAGAAAGAAAGAAAAGCATCAATAGAAAAGAATAATTATACGGACATAGACTTATTGCATCATTTAAAGCATTGTACATGATTTTTTTCTTTATATAAAGATTAACTTACTGTTTTCTATTTAGAAAGAAAGCATATTACAATTTCTCCAAACTTCTCGATATTTGGTTTCTTTTTAACCAGATAGGAATTTGTTATTTCTTATTATTTTATCATCTATGTCTGAAATTGAAATTGTTCATTATTTTACTATTGTAGTTGTTCAGTTTTACATATATCATGAGCACTAAACATGTTTGCCATAGATTTGCCATTATGCCTGCATAAACAATAAACATCTTTACCCGATAATTTTGCATTACGCGTGCAAATAAGGTATCGAAACCTTATTTTTATTTATGCCATATATTTCACCATCAATAGATTATGATTGGATTTTTTTAAATGTATAATTCGGTGGAAAATAATGCTATCTCATATGCATGTTTTCTTTATGTTATGTTAATCGCAATTATTTATAAACTTGGAAATCATTTCAATATTGACATTAAAGTATGATTTCACATAGTTAGTGATTTGCTCATTGACAAGGTCGGGAACTCTGTCATTTTGAACGCTCTTTAATCGCTTACAGTGATAACCCTTTAAACAATACATTCCGCAGAGTACAAAACTAATAGGCCTTGTAATCCCGCAATACTGGGATAAAAATGTTACAACTTTGCTTGACACCTAATAGGGAACGCAGCTTCCCATACATAGTTTATTTATTCAGTAAGAATTTCTTATATTTCAATATATTTCCATGATTAAAATATTTTACTCAAGGATGAGCATAGTATATATTTAACAACGAAATTGTCGAAAACAGATAATATCGTTTCACGTCATTGGGTCTATCTCACTATGAACAGGAAAGTGCAAGCTTACAGTCCACGCCTCTTAGCACCGGCTTAAGCAGAATTTAACATTAAAATTTTGAATAATGAAACATCAGCAGATGCGCTCATAAGGCAAATATGTTTAGCCATACGACCCCCCTTT